CCCAAGCGTTTGCGCCGCAGCCACCCCCACGAGTTGATTGCGCGAAGGCCCATCCCAGGCCCTGTCTGCGACCGAGGCGGGCGCCGAGGCCTGCGCCGTGTCTCAGTTATGGCTGTTTTTGCCACCTCTCCTCGGCTCACTGGAGCTGCACAACCAAACGAAGTAAGGACTGAGATGATCAGACTGAAAACAGACCAATTTTTTATTATTATTATTCTGTTGCTCAGTCTTTCGTTAGTCTATCTCTAGACCTCAAACCAATGTTCTCTAACTCGGACATTGTTAACCGGCAAAGACATTTCACACTTATAAATAAGAGTCGTTGGATCAGACCCTTCCTCTACACGTACTCAATCTCCACCCAGAAAATACCCACGAAGCGCTCCCAGGGCGGCAGCAGGGACTCAATAAGAAAATCAAGCAGAGGAAAGACCCACCTCACTCGGTGCGGCAAACCTTGCAATCTGCCCCAGCGAAAAAGTTCATGGATGCCTGTTCCACATTTTTACACTCAGGCCGGCCGGGAATCTCCTCCGGAGCTGGGTTTCCCAGTTCTGGCACGGCCTTTCCAGACTGGTAGAAACACCCTGGAAGAGCCGCAGGAGAAGAAAGTCACTCTGCCGCCTGTCGCGAAGCTTCTGCGCCTCGCCCACAAGCCTACCGGCCTCTTGCATTTTGCAGCCACCACCCACCTCCGCCCTTACTCACGCCAATTAATTGAAAACTTCACTTTCCCAAGAACCTTTGTTTCGCTTCCTTTTTCAAGTTATCAACTGCATAGAACTAAGAGGGGCAAGTTAAGAGGGCACTTTTCACAAGTGAAAACTTGTAATGGGAGCAACCAAGAGCATCTAGGTCTGATTTCTATGGGATGAGGTAGGCTTCCAACAGCTATGGTGGGGCTTAGACCCACCTCTGGGATACTGTTGCCAGAGTGTTAAGAATTACTGTCCCTGATTCCTCTTTATCCCCCCTGCCATTCCTCTATGCCTTAGAGCGCCAACCCATCATCCCCCTGATCTTAGCAATTAATATCCAGTATGGGTCCTGTGTCCTCCCAAGCTCTGTCTTAGGAGCAGTATTAGTTAAGAATGACCAATGGTGCTAGGGTGGGTGTGGAAGCCCTCAGAGTGACCCAATTTGTTTTTGTGGCATTAACTCTCCAGGCTAGCCTATCTCCAAGAAAATCACTCCCCTAAACCTGTGATTGGTGAGGTCAACTGGTCACCCAGTCCCATTGCTCCCAGACCGAAGACAGGCCCTGAATAACATGAAGAAAAAAAGCCAGCAAGACTCTCCTGGGCCTGGCCTGGCATTGCAGGGTGGGCTGCTGGTGTTGAGAGTGTTGACATGCAAAACACAGTAACCATAAAAGGCTCAAATAAAGGGGAAAGTTATGAGAGAGGTGCTGGAAAAGAAAAGCAAGAGAATTAGTTTGACCTTTTTGAAGTCCTAGACATGTTCATGATCAAATTCAAGACAGAGGCAGCCTGAACTTTGCAGAATTGTAGATAATAGAATTTTGCTGATGAGAACAATTTTGACTACTTGGGAAAAAAGGCAAAAGTTAGCAATGAAATCTGGATTGCATTTTTAAAAGGCTGACTAGAACAGGTGACAGAGTTGTGGACTTTTTGGAAGGGACTAGCTAGGGATTTACTCAACCATTTTAGTACCACATCACTAACCACAGGCCACCTGAGACACTTTTTGTTACTTGTTCTTTTTCTCAGAGCAGGAAAACATTGAGATACTTTCAAATTTTCTCTGACCTAAGAAACAAAACACAACCCCAGATTTATTTAAATATGTCTAAAGCATAACTGGAACTAAAGAATTTTAGTTTCTTAAAACTAAACACTTTGGTAGTTTTATGCTCTTGGATTTCAGTACCATTTTCTTTCTGATAAATATATTTAAACAACCAATTGTAAAAAAAATTTAAAAAGTCAAATCAAATAGGAAGGAAGAATCCATCAAGTTTCTGCTTGCAGGCGGACCATTGCTTTAGACTTAAATTTCCATGCGGTGCATTAATTTTCCTAGAAGGAAAATTTGAATTAATGCTTAGGCTGAGACTTCTCAATCTTAGGCACTGCTTCCAAATGCCCTTTGGATCCTTTGCAAGACTTGGGGTTTCTCTGTCCATCCCAAAGGGCAGAGAGGGAGATTTTGAATAATAAGATTTGATTCTCACTATTCTGATGCAAGCCTCCAGAAAAGTTATTAAAGGCTCAGCCCAGTAGGAGGGGGTTCAACCTAGGAAAGAGGCTCTGAATCAGCCCTACGTGGGCCTTTTAAGTTCCAGAACCCAAGGGCAACTACTACTGTTGGATAGTAGGGCCATGGCTGAGTACTAGGTAAAGTCGGGACTGTTATGTTACTAAAGTATGATGCTCATAGTTGAATTTGCAGAAACATTTCATTTAGCTTATATATCCTGTATCTGAACTGATTTTGGATTTAAACGTAATGGGAATCATTTTCTTTGGTTGTCCTGAAGCACAGACTGAGCCCTACATAACTCTCTCTCTCCCTCCCCCCATCCTTGTGTATCATGTTGAGGTTTTAATAACGGAAATAGGTTTTGCTAAACGAAAGACTTTTGCAATGACAAATGGCTCCAAATTCTTTCATGTTCTTTCATGAAATATTTTGATGCATTTCCTGATTTGGGTGAAAAACTCATAACTTTCTTTGTTGCCCAAAGTCCCACTTTATTCTTTCAACACTTGCTCCTCTTCCTCCTCTCTCCACAAACACCTTTTTTTTTTTTTTGTCATGGATGCTGTTATGGAAGTAAGCCTTGCTTTTCTTCCTTGTAGATGATCTTTCAAATTATGCTCCTGCCCTGGGTTGAAATGGGTAAACATCTAACGCAATTTAGATTTAGATTTTTTTTTCTGTGTTGCAGATTGAACTCAGGGAACCTTTGTTAAAGTTGCTGTGCTTGCCAAAACAGCAATGAACTCAATTAACCACATAATCAGTGGCTATTAAGACCAGGATGACAGGGTCCTATCAAAGTGGGATCCTGGGGACTCCTTTGAAAGCATTTACCTTGATGGCCACAACCAGGAAGTGCAGGACACCCTCCTAATTAACCAACCTGTAAGAAGTCAGAGTTTGTACAAAGAGACTTAATTCCAAATAAAGTCTTAAGTCCAGTGGAACTGGCTGGACAGTGTTCTCAACCACGTCTGTGTCCTGCCAACTCTGGAGCTAACCTCCCTCTCTAGCCATACCCAGTGTCTCTCAGGGTGGAAATTTCAAAGAAACAACAACCAAAAAAGCAAAAAATCAAAACCAAAACACAACCTAGGATGCAGAAAAAGGGGCTCTAGCAATAGGCACAAAGTGGAATCCTGCATTGGGGTAGTTGGCATGTCTAAGATGTAATCTGTTTAGGTTTAACAACAAAACTAGACTTTATTAAATGAAAATCGTTTGTAACAACAACAAAGACCCACTCCAAACACAAAGCAGCATTTGGTGAAACCTGGTTCGCCTTCCATAGGGCAGTAGCCCTCCTTTGGAACTGCGAAAACTCCTCCAGCCTTGGAGGGAATTAAACAGCGAGGATCTTCCTTGGCAGAGAAGCACTAATCTCACGGGGTTGGGGATGATGGGAGGGGGGGAACAGGAGGGTGGGGCCATAGCTGGAGGACCTGGTGACTTGTTGCCCCTCTCGCTTTTGATAAATAAAATAAAAACTGGGGCAGCAATTTGCTGTTTTGTCAGAGCTCTCTCAAGGTGTGGAGTTGATCTAAAAGAATACATTTTCCTAGCAAAACTATTGTTAGTTTAACCCCAATAAATGCTCATTATGCAATCGCTTGAGGCAAAAGAAAATAAGTCTATCTACCTATCTTCATTTAGCAGAACTCACGGTCTTCACGGGGAATCCACGTCGTGATCACCAGCAAGGTAGTGATGAAGGCTAGGAAAGTGCCTAAACGTGAAAGTGGAGTCCGGAGGCTGGCGTAGGGATGCCAGTGGTCAGAATCCGCTTCCCTGACTGGCGGCGCGCAATTCCCCACGCCTGGCGCTAGATGTCCCTGCAAGTTCTCCGGTCGCTTCTGAGGACAGAGGAGCTTGGGGCAGGCGGTGGGTCTGTGTAGCCCCAGTGTCCAGGGAAAAAAGTACCCACCCAACCCCTCACCCATAACTGTCCCAGGTGTGTCTCGGGATTTCAAGGGAAGGGGGAGACGGAAGCAACTAAACTGACCCAGATGAGACAGAGAACCAAAGGCTTGCCTGCTCAGGGATGGAGCATGAAGTAGTTAGTACCAAGTCAGGCCTGGTTCTTCAACCCCTCAGTCCTTCCTTAAAAATCGAAACCTCCAGCCGTGGGGGATTGCGCTTAGCCCAAAGAAAACGTGCCACGAGCTCCCCCCAGACTGTGGTTGTTCCCGCTGTCCCACCACACTCTGGCCCCAGCTCTCAAGAAAGCATGCGTTTTCACTGGATGGTGGCTGCAGCTACCCGAAACCCTTGGCTAGGAAACCGCCGCGAGGCTCTTCTGTAGCTCTAGTTTTACCCGCTCCACTCCCCTCTGGCAGCTGAAATAGATTTTTATTACCTGAAGTCTCAAGCCAAAAAATGTTTATTTACCACTTCACCCCAGAGGACCCGCTGCAAATATTTAGTCTGGAGGCCCAACAAAACAAATAAACAAAAAATTAGGCTTCATTAATGTTGTTCATTCTTTCAAGCAAAAAGTGCTTTTTAAACTGTATGGAGAAAAATCTTTCCCGCACTCCATTTCACCCCCATCTTAAAAATCACTGCCAAGCTATGCCTCGTGGGTTGGATTCTTGTCGTACTGAGTGGGCCCTGTACCTTGGTAGTGGGTAGGAGAGCTTGAAGGAACCAGAGGCTGCATCTAAAAACTTGGAACATTTGACAATCCTGTTCCCAGCCTTAGCCTCTAGATTCTGGAAGAGGTGTGAAATTTCATCCATAAACATTAACAGTACTGTGCTGTTCTCTCTACTCTTACAATTTTTTTGAAGTAGGCCTGAATTTAAATAAGACAGGCAAAATATGAGAAAAATAAAACAAAACAAAAGCTATTCAAAATTTAGAACTACCTTAAGGCTTTTATATTGTTGGAGATAAATTTAAATCACGAACAAGTCGCTAAACTTATGTGTCTAAGAGGGAAATGTAATTAATTTCAGAGTTGCTGTGAGATTTAGAAGAGATAATAATACAGGTAAGAAGCACCTGCAATTACATATAAGGACTTTATGTAAATTAGCCAATATTACTACAACTAGTGGGTATGGAGAATAAGTAAATTAAGGGTCACTAAATACTGAAATGGAATATTCACTGCGCTCCAGGAAACATTGTCTGCTAAATGCAGTAGTGAAAAATGGTAGGTGTCTTTTACTGTGAGTAGTTTCCCTGACATGGTCTCAAATATACTTATTGGAATAAACGTGTTAGAAACGCAAACTTAGTGTTATTTAAAAGGTGCAAAATAGTTTTCTAAACCACTAATGAATGAAGGTGCCGCCAAAAATGGTTTTGTCCCTTTTCAATAGACTCAGGTCGGGTTTGAAGCTGCCTTTGGAACTAGAGACACCAGATCCCAGAGGAAGCGAGGAAGTGGGAGACCGTGAGCTGGCTGGGTGATAGAGGAAACGGTGCCTGTCTGCACCCCAGACCCCAGCGGCTGCTGTATTTGAAAAGCCTCTCACAGCCGCCTAAACCGCGAGGAAAACAGATGGGGGCGCCAAACGACAGCAATAAAGGCATCAGCGGATTTCCGCTCAGGCAATGCCTCCACTTCCCCCCACCGCCGCCAGGATCTTGGCCCCCCACGGACCCGAGCCTGGACCAAAGTGCCCCATTTAGTCCCTAGAGCAAGCGAGGATTGAGTAGCGGGGCACCTTTCCTAGATCAAGGGGACAGCGCCTGCCAGAATTCGTGGATCTGGCTGTTGGAGTTGGGGAGCGGGTGGGGGCGTCCACAGGGCTGGGCTCCTGACGAGCTAATGGCCCCAAAGTCTTCATGATGAGAACGTGAGAGCTCGGTGTTGAGTGGTAACAGGGGCACGGGAGGAGGTGGATGGCTGATAGAATCCTCGGAATGTTGCCGAATGCCCAGCGGTCTCTCTGCCCCCAGCCTCAGCATGCCTATTGAGCTTTCCGTTTATTACCTTAAAGAGGTGGAATTGATTTTCCAAGCAAAGCTCGCGATGTTGAAGTAAGTTGGCGCCAAGGGGAACAGTAGAGAAACTTTTGGCAATGACTATATGTGTATATATGTATATAAATATACTTCACACCTCGCCTCCCCTTTCATTCCTGACGCGCCCCCAATGGGTCTAAGGTTAAAAGGAAAGCGCCAACAGACAGATGGGCAAATAGACCCTGGGTTTGCCCCAATGCACCTCGATGTGTTGGGTGTGTCAGAAGGAGGAAAGGAGGGGGCCCAGGTTGGGGTCTGAGTTGGCTCTGGGGCGGGGATGCAGGACCCGCGCACAGCGCCCAGACTGCTAGGGTCTCCTGGTCGCTTCAGAAGCTCAGGAGTTGGATCTCGGTGTCCCATCCCTGTTTTCGCCCTGGTGCCACAGGCGGGCGGGCATAATGCATCCGGAGGTCGGGGAAGGGTGGGGCACAAGCGCGGGAGGAGATGAGGAGCGGCCTTGAGTGAAGATTGATCTTCGTTAAAATGGTTGCCACCGGCGTCATTATGACTATCAAAGTTAAAGCCAAGAGGCTCAGCCGCCAACCTCAGGCCGCAAGGAGCAGCAGCAAGGTTGGTTGGGAACTCTCATCGCCCGGACTCAGCGCTGGGAACACGAGGGGCCACAGGTAAGGAAGGGACTAGGGTGTAAAGGGAGGAAGGAGGAAAGACAGAATCAAGGGCAAAAGAAGGAAAGGCAGAGGCAGAAGGCGGCTGACGCTCCTCTAACCCCCACCCCCTTTAACCTCGAAATCCACTTACTTGGGCACAAATAATCAAATTTGAGGAGGGAAGGGGGAAACTGGCAACCATAAAAAGTGGATTCGGTGCGGCCCCGTATGGCACTGTAAATCGCGACTATGTTTAAAGTTAGCTGTCGAATTCTGCTTTCAAGTCGTCCAGTGTAGTTCACTTCCCCCAGGGAAAATGAGTAGGTGAGAAGTCTATCCATCAGCAGAAATATAAAAGTTAAAAACAAAAACAAAACAAAAAAACCAAACTAAGGACTTCGAGTTCAGAACAAACCAGGCAAACTTAGAAAAATCAGGGAGGATTTAATGATTTCGGTTTGGAACAGCGGGCCCAACATACTTCCCTGGCCACGTAGCAAGAAAGCGGTTTCAAAACTCTACAAATCTACAGATCTCTCTCTCTCTCTCTCTCTCTCTCTCTCTCTCTCTCTCTCTCTCTCTCTCCTCTTCTCTTTTCCCCCTCCCCCTCCTTCCCTCCCTTCTTCTCCCCCCTCTTCTGTGGGAGGAGAACACCCAGGCTGAGACGAAGAAGTAGCTAGGCAGAGAACTCAGCTTCCTATTTGTTAAATAAAATACATATTTGGTTCTGAAAACAGAAAGATAAGTAATCCAGTCAGGAGCCGCGCAAGGTCTTCTCCTTACGCAACTCTTCCTGCATCCTCCCCCTTGTCCCCCCCCTTACGCCCCCAGCTTGTAAATGTTTTTAAAAAAATCTTCCTGAGGATCTACTCTGGAAAAAATCAAAGCATTATCTATTATTTAACACATATCTGTGTCCATGGAAAAATGAGGAAGGCGCTGCATGATTAGGACCTAAGGGGCAACCCAGCAAACTGAGAGCGTAATGATGCCCCTAAATGAAGGGGGAAATGTGCCGCGGCGCGCTCTATTAATCAGACTGTCAATTTCACCCCCGAGGCCAAACCCCCGGGCGAGCAGAACTGGCTCCGAACGGGCAAAGGACCGGAGCCTTCTTCCTCACTTCTTGTCTCTTCTCATCTTCTACCTGGATCTATTTGTCTGCTCTGAAGTCGCCTTCATTACCCACTGACAGGAGCGTGTATTTATTTGCTTATAAACCTGTTACAATAAATGATTATTCGAACGGCGTCATTCGTACCTTAATGACGAGCGGGCGCTACTTTTTGATGAATGACATCTCGGGCTCGGAAGGATGTATGGGTCATTTTGACCAGTCATTCCCTCGCTCTGGCATCCCACAATTTTTCCGCCTCCCTCCAAAAGAGATAATAATATTTAGAGGCGCTTGCTGGGGCTGAATGAGAATTAGCCCTAGACGCAGAGCATCATTAGGACGGGACAGCCGGGCCACTGTGACATTTTTTAGAAAGCTGAGATGATGGAAAGAATAAGAAAAGAGATGATTCTGATGGAGAGAGGGCTCCACAGCCCTACCGCCAGCAAGAGGTTCTCCAATTTGTCCGACTCCGCTGGCAGTGCTGTGCTGGAGGCCCTGGAAAATTCGCAGCACCCAGCTCGCCTCAGTCCGCGCCTACCTTCCGCCCCCCTACACGGCGCTCTGGGAGACCTCCCCGCCAAGGGCAAATTCGAAATAGACACTTTGTTCAACCTGCAGCACCCGGGCAGCGAAAGCACCGTCTCCTCCGAAATCGCCTCCGCTACCGACAGCCGCAAGAAGCCGAGCCATTATTCAGAGGCGGCCGCCGAGGCCGACATGAGCAGCGACGTGGAGGTGGGCTGCTCGGCGCTTCGTTCCCCCAGCGGCCTCGGCGCTGCGCCGCTCAAGGAAAACAATGGCAAAGGTAAACGCTCAGCCCGCGGACTCTACGGTCCGGTCTTCCTTGCCTCTCCGCGGCCCTCACTAGTCCTTCCCGGTGGCTTTGCCCTTCTCTGACCCTCCGCAAGCAAGCTGTACCGAACTTGCGAGTGTAGGACGCATGCTAGGGACTGCCCACCGGTTCCACTCCTGGAGCCCTCTCACGCGGCGCAGGCCTGCGGAGCCTGGAGCTCCAGGCCCCGCTCGTCCTGGCTCCTGCGTTCGAGAAAATATTTCTGTGTGCGGGTCTGAGAGGTAGAGCGAGCTGACAGACCCCTAGCGAGAGGCCAAGACGTCTCGGGGCAGGGTACTCTGAACAGCTTCTCTGAACCCCGCCACCTCTGAGCTCTCAGGGCCGGGTGGAGGGAGTTATTTTCTGGGTAAGTCAGGGAGTCTCTCCCGGCGCCTTTGCTCGACCGCTTAGGCCCCGGGAAGAAAAAGTTGAAAAGTAGATTCCACCCCCTAACGGCTCTGGTTTGAGCTGCTGTTTTGGAAACTTCAAATATTTTTTTTAACCAAATCTGAAACAAACAAACAAAAACTGTCAAAGAAAGGCTAGAGGCTGTACAGAAAGCCACCCTGGGGTCTCAAACTGCGCCCCGAGGTAGGCATTTTCTCTCTGCCAGTTTTCCTCCTCAGTGGAAAATTTCTAATTACAAAAAAAAAAAATCCCCCAATTCCATTTCTATTATTTGGTTATGAAGGGCTCCTCAAACTTTATTGATTCCATTAACGGCAGCAATTTGTAAGCATGACAGACCCCATCAATTCCGGCAGCGACTTTCCTTCCTGACGCGACTTCCCCTATTGCAGGGCTCTAGGCCCCCACAGAAACCCATGTGCTGTCGCCTGTTTGTTTGCCAGGGTACACGGAGAGCGGCTCGGCGGCTGGAACCACGACGTCAGCGTCGGGCTCAGGCCTCGGCAGCCTATATGGAGGCGGCGGCGGCGGCGGGCGGTGCGGGGGAGGGGGCGGGAGCGCGATCGATGGAATATAATTTTCCTCAAACTCGGAAAATAAAGTTCAGAGCTGATCAAATTTGAAAACAGATGTCGAATCGCGACTCTAAATAAGGTTCGATCCCGGGACTGAGCGAGTGGGGGTGGGGGGCGGGGAGGCCGGGAGACCCCCTCCTCTCTCTTTGCTTCTCCCTCCCTCGCCCCTGCCCCACCCCTGCCGAGGAGGACGCGCGGACAAACGGACAGGACAGGCCCCAGGCTGAGGTAGCAGCTATGTGGCCAGGATCCCTGCTGGACACGCAAAGCTGGACTCAACCTGGAACAGGGAACCGCAGACACACAACCTGCATAGCACCGGTCGTAGGGAGCATGGATTCAGTGACACAGTGCGGCCACACACACAGGACACCGCCTAGTGAGCTCACTGGGCTCCCGGCAGTAGACAGGCACAGACACACGTATACACAGACCTGCCCTCTGTCCAGGCCCTGCACACGGACATGCTAATAAAGAATCCGAAAACAACCTATGCATCAAGACACAATGAGCACAGAGACCATTCACACCCAGGACACACAGCCTTCGCACACATATCTACCTCAACTCACAACCACTCCCTGATCCACTGACCACCAACTGGATGCATGGACACAGATCCACAGTGACATACACCTTCCTACCCTGGCCGTGGCTACACACGCCATTGACACACCAGTGAACGAGGCGTGCACACTGATAAGCCCTTCATATGCCCACTGGTCCCAGGCACTCACACTCATACCTATGGTGACAGGGAAGGGCATAGCGCAGCTGGATCTGCTCCCCTTAAAATAACAAGTAAATATC